CCCCCCCCCCCTCGTCCCGTTGTGTGCTCGTGTGCTCCCGCGCTGGAGCCAAGCAGAAGCGGCAAAGGCGAAGCGAGGCGGGTGCGGCGTACGTGCTCTTAGTCTCGTCGCCTCAGCACCCAGAAGCGCGTGGACTTCTGCCCTCCTCTTCTGCAACAGCAGCGGCGGCGGCAGCAGAGGAAGTTTGACTCTCTCTCTCTCTCTGTGTAGGTGCGTCTTGCCTCCTCGGCCATGTCGCGCGTGCGGGTGCTGAATCTTCCGCGCGACTGCACGGAGGACCAGCTGCGGCGCCACCTCCTCGCCGCGCTGCCGCCCTCCGCGCCGCACCTGGAGATCACCGACTGCGTGATCAAGCGGTCGCCGGCCGGCGGCAAGGGCCGGGGTGTGATTCGCATGGCCTTCGTGGGGTTTCGCAACGCCTCCAGCGGGCACTTCGTTGTCCGGCACTTCGACGGCACGTACTTCGGCAGCGCGAAGCTGCGGGTGGAGGTGGCGAAGGGCCTCGGCGACGTCGGGGTGACGACGAACATGCGGAAGAAAATGGAGGCGACGGCGGCTGCAGGCGACGGCGACAAGGCTGCGAAGGGCGGTGGGGAGGCGCTGAAGCGCCCCCGCGAGGAGGCGCAGCAGGCCTCCGCGGCTGAGCACGGCGAGGCGGCGGAGGAGGAGCAGCAGCGCAAGAAGAAGGAGCGTAAGGAGGAGTTCATCGCCCAGCGCCTGAAGGCGACCACCGGACCGACGTGGACCTCAGAGGTGCTGGTGCCGGAGGCGGCGGAGTCCGACGCACACGCCGTGGAGAGTCACGGTGCCGGGAAGGCGGAGCAGCACGACGAGGCGGCGGAGGAGGAGAGGGAGGAGGATGAGGAGCGACGGGCACTGGAGCGGCAACAGGCGCTGGGCGAAGTCAGCGACTTGGATTTTTTAGCCTCACTCGCGAATAAAACGGCGGCCGCAGGTAGGAGCAGTGCCCCGGGGAGGCAAGGGGGGGCAGTGGACGAAGCGGGCGGAGGCGTGCGTGCAGAGGACGCGGAGGCGGAGAAGGAGGCGGTGGGCGGGGAACAGCAGCAGGAGCAGACACCTCGTGCAGAGGTCTCCCAAAGGGAGGAGGAGGAGGAGGAGGCCATTGTGCGCGAGAGCCGTCGGATACGCCTCGGAAATATTCCGTACATCGCCACTGAGGAGGACGTGAAGCAGTTCGCCTCCTCGCTCGTGGGCACTGTGGAGGCGGTCCACATCCCTTTGACCAAAGACACGCGGCAGAGCAAAGGCGCGGCGTTTGTGAAGTTTGCGCGGCTGGAGGACGCCGTGCGGGCGCTGCCGTTGTGTCGCGGGGCCGTTTTCATGGGCCGACTGCTGCGCGCCAGCGCCGCTGCGGAGGACCCGTACACGAAGAAGCTCGAGGGCCACGCGGACGCGGCGGCGATGGCGGGCGGCAGCGAATTCAAGCGTCAGAAGGAGCAGGAGCGCCGCGGTGAGGCCGGCTCGGCGATGGTGTGGAACACGATGTACATGAACAGCCACGCTGCGGTGGAGTCTGTGGCAAAGCGGCTTGGCGTGACTTCGGGCGACGTCGTCTCCGTTCAGGCCCGCGGGGCCGCCGTGCGTGCCGCCATCGCGGAGGCATACCTGACGACGGAGATTCAGCAGGTGTTGAGTGACGAGGGGATTGACTTCGGCCTCCTGGAGAGCGCCCAGCAGAACCTGCTGAAGACGCGCAGCAACACAACCATCCTCGTGAAGAACATTCAGGCCACCGACGCGGACGACGCCGCCCAGCTGAGTAAGATGTTTCTCCGCTACGGGGCACTGGAGGCCACTGCTTTCCCGACCGCCGGCGGCTTCGCGCTCTTCCGATACACCCACCAGCAAGACGCCCGTGTGGCCTTCCAGCGGCTGTCGTACAAGCTGTTCAAAAACGCCCCGCTCTTCCTGGAGTGGGCGCCCATTGGCGCCATCGTGACGAGCGCCGACGACGACGACGACGACGGGGCGCGGGCGGACGCTGATGCGAAAAAGAAGGCGGCTGTGAGCACCACCGGCACCGGTCCCAACGGAGCCGCCCCGCACGCGGAGGAGGAGGAGGAGGAGCTGCCGAGCAACAATGCCGCCTTTGCCCCCGTCTTCACGCTCTTCATCACGAACATCCCCTTTGCTTCAAAGGAGGAGGAGTTTTACGTGTTTCTGCTGGACTCCTGTCCACGGATTGCGAAGGTGCCTGAAAAGCACATTGAGCGGTTGGCCTTTGAGCAGGATAAGGGGCGCGCCTTTCTCACGCTGAAGGATCAGAGCAGCTTTAAGTACGTGCAGCAGCGGCTGCACGGGAAGAGTTTTGCCAAGCGAACGCTCGCGTGCGTGCCAAGCAAACAGACCACGGCGATGCTCACGATGAAGACAGCGTCCGTGGCGGCAACGTCGGTTGTGGCGGCCATCGCCGCTCCGGCGGAGGAGGCGGAGGAGTTGGCAAAGGCCTCCGCCGTTGTGGCGCGTAGGGGGGCGGCGGCGCGCGGCGCCAGTCACGTGCCGCCGGGTTGTGACGCGCTCAAGTTGGTGGTGAAGAACGTGCCCTTTGAGGCCACCGAGCGCGACATCCGGGACCTCTTCTCTGCCTTCAGCGAGATTCGCAGTGTGCGGCTGCCGCGGAAGAGTCACCAGTTTTCCTCACACCGTGAGAACAACCATCGTGGCTTTGCGTTTGTCGAGTTTCTCTCGGAGGAGGAGGCAAAGCGTGCCATGGAGACACTCAAGGCCACGCACCTTTACGGTAGACACCTGGTGCTGCAATACGCCAAACTCGACGGGCAGTAACGTTGCCTCTCGCACACCCCCGACCTTCTTTATTATTAGTATTCTTGTTGTTGTTCTCTCTGTCTCCCCCCTGCGTGTCTCCACGAGGGAACCGATGCTCGTGCCCAACGCGCGCGCTGGGTTTCTCTCCCGCCTTTGCGGCTGGGGAGGGGATGGGCGTGGGCGGAAAGCCAGAAACATAAATACACATTCCATTATGATAAACATGCATGCGATTAAGTGTGACCTGAGGTTTCTTAGTTTTGTTGTTGCTGCTTTGGTGGCCCTGCTGGTTGTGTCTGCGTGGACGGATGGGTGGATGGATTGCTGGGCACACTCTCCTTCCGCCGTCTTTCTGAAGTGGGGGCGGTGGTGCTGGTGCTGGCGGAAGCCCGAACAAGCGGGCGGCTGCAATAGGAACTCCTTGCAGGGCATATATTTGTTCTTTAAGCAAAGAAAACAAGGGGGGGTGAAAGAAGAACTCGCACTGCAAGTTCAACCAAAAACAAAAAAGAAAAGGACGAAAAGCAAAAAGGGAGAGAGGGAGCGGGAGAGGTAGAAAGGGAGCGGGGCGACGATGGATAACAACACGGTGTTGCTTTCCGTCCTGGAGGACCTCATCCATTGGCCGCTTCCCCCGGCGGAGCCTCCTGTTCTGGACCCCACGACGTTTGGCGCGGTGGACCTCGACGCCGATGCGGTGTGGCGCGAGGAGGCGCTGCTCACCGCGGGCGGCGCCGAGGACCTCGACGAGGAACCACGCGAGCGGCAACGGGCCCGCTACGAGGCCGTGCTCCGCCTGACCTCCCTTGCGCAGGCGTTGGGCGCCCAGTGGGCCAAGCTGGAAGTTGTCCCCTATTTGCTGCGCTGCCTGGAGGAGGAGGATGCGGAGCTGAGCTTTGCCGCCGGCATGGCGCTCATCGAGTTCGCAACCTCCTCGTTTAGTTTTCGGCCCCAGCAGCTGCTGGGGCCGGCGGCGGCGGCAGCGGCAGCGGCAGACACCCGCGCAGAGAAGCTAGACGTCGACCGCGGCCGGCCGCTCTCAACGGAGGACCTTCTGCCCGCGCTGGTGCGCATGGGCGCCTGCAACGACGCCGGTGTCCGCCGCTTCCTTGCGGAGGTGGTGATTCCGATGGTGTTTTTTGGCGTCCCCCTCGAGCGCCACTTCGACCTCCGCGACTGGAAGCTTAAGTACCTCAACGCCGCCCCAGACGGGGCGGAGGTGGGCGATGAGCCCAAGCTCAGCTTCGACGCCCGTGGTTGCGGTGGCGGCCACAAGAGCCACGGTGCGCGTGGGGGCAGCTGCGGCGGGTCAGAGCTGCGGCGCTCCAGCGGGAGTGGCGCAGGCGAAGGCCTCGGCAGCAGCCATCGGGCGGAGCAGCATGTCAGCAGTGGCACCACGGAAGTGTGGGACCCGTTTGAAATCAACCTCTACGCAAACCGCATGCGCAGCGCTGTTGCCACCTTCCTCCGCGACGTGGGCGCAGCCGAGGCGGGGGCGGAGGGGCCCATGATGGCCTCCAGCGGCAGCGCAATAGCGGCGCACGACTACACCAAAAACCCGGCTCGCCGTGAAGCATTTCACGCTCGCTGGGTTCTTTTTGTGGGCCTCATGGAGTCCATGCTAAGGTCCGAGTACGCCGCGACGGTGAGCTCCGCGGTGGATTGCATCAGCAACATCTACTCCTGCATTGCGTGGTTTGAGTGCATGGAGCGGCGCCACGGCGGCCCGGCGCTGCGCACCCCAACCCTCCTACGCTCCACCGAAGAACTTGCGACGTTTCTGTTCAGCACGACGCGAACACACGTTGGTCGCTCCATCTGCAGTGGGGCGGAGAGGCCACGTCAGGACTTGATGATGGTTCTCTCTGAGCACCGCCTAATTCTCACAAGGAACCCGGCGGCCGCCTCCGGCGCTGCGGAGACGCACAGCTCCATCGCACTGGGATGCGGGGGAGTTGGCGCGGCGGAGAGTGAGGTGTGGGATTTGTGCCTGGGCGGCCGTGCCCCGGTCATGCACCGCGTAGTCCGCATGAGCCTCCTGCGTTCGCTGCCGCAACTCATCGACTGGACTCGCGGCGCGGAAAAAGGCCGGGGCACAGGCACAGGCGCCCCGGAGTGGATGGAAGGGCTAAGTTTCTTTTCTGTCTGCGACGTTTTTGCGCAGGCCCTCGCCGCCCCCGCCGCAGTCCATGGCGACAGCGACAGCGAGACGGAGCGTAACGACGATCGCGAGGCAGAGCAGGCAGGGCGGCAGATTACAAAGCGGCACGAGACGACCAAAGGGAAAGACGCTGAGGCCCCGAATTGCATGCCGCCGCTAGAGAGTGACGTGTGCCACGACTGCGGCGTCGCCGAGGCGGTGCTGGATGGTGTGCAGCTCCTGCTGGACGAGCTGCTGCGCCCGCACACGATAGAGGACTTCTTGCAAGGCAACGTGGGACGCACGCTGCCGGTGACGCTGACTGAAAAGAAGGAACGTTTGTTGCATTTGTGCGGCCTATACCGCGACTGCGTCGTCGGGTTGGCGGCTCTGCTGGCGTGGAAGACGCGGTGGCTGACGACGCACCGCCTGCCACAGCTCACAACGGCGCTGCTAGAAGTTGTGCGCCGCGTCGGCACGCACGACCCTAACGAGGGTCCCGCACTTGTGGAGCTCTGCACCGAGTTCTTGTTTCAGTTCCATCTGGAGCAGTGGTCCTCCGCCCCCGAGGGCGACGGGGCTCTGAGGGGGCTCGTGCACGACGACGAGGAGGAGGTGCGCTGTATCGTGTCGGTGGCTGCGGCGAGTGTGTTTCGGGCGCTGGGGCAAGGCATGTTTTGCCTCGTGTTTCCCCGTGGCGTGGTCGTTGATATGCAGTCGCATCGTCGCACGGACGCACAGGCGCGTGAGGGCGGTGCTGCGCGGCGCCTCCATGCGGACCCCACCAAATCGGAGACCGTGAGCTGGAAGGGGGCAAGAAGGGAGGTCCCCAAGCATGGGGCGCTGCTTTCCGTCCAGAGCTTGCTGCGGTCACTTCCCACGCTCTTGGACGTCGTGCTGTCCTGCTGCGCGCACGTCATGCGTGACCCGGAGGAGCGTGTGCGCTCGGGCGCCGCCGCCGGGGTCTCGGCGCTCGCGCGGACGCTGAGCGCGATGGTGGCGGCCTGCGACCTGCACGTGGAGGACCTCGGCAAAGGCACCTGGCTGCGCTACCTGGACAGCACCACCGTGTCACTCATGACGCTCCTCACCGATCGCAGCCCGACGGTGCAGATTGCGCTCGTGTCGGAGCTGGCGGCCCTGCTTGTGAGCAGCGCCGGAGAAACGGGGAGGCTTGCGGCGGCCATCGGCGGCCGCAGAAACGATGAGGCGGCGCAGGTGCGGAAGGAGGCCCTTGTTGCCTGCCTAAAGAGCCTTTCACGGCATGAGGTTTGGCGCTATCGCGAGCGCTACGCCGTGCTGCTGTCGGAGATGTGCGTGAAGTTTCTGGCCCCCAACTCCCTGGCCGCGGTGGAGGCCGCCGCGCAGTCGCTGGGCGGGGCGCACAGCCTTGAGGAAGGCCTGCGCGAGAGCAGCGTCGCGGCGGGCCGCCCAAGCGGCGTGGTGGTCGCCGAAGACGGCGTCAACCCGCTTCACGGCTTCGCGAAGGACGAGCTTCTGCCGCTTCTGGTGGATGTCCTCTTCGACAAGGTGAAGGCGGTGCGGGATCAGGCGCTGGAGTCGCTGGAGAAGATGTGCACCCAACTCTCCGCGGCGCGCTCGCAGCTGCAGGCGGCCGCGTCGAGCGGTGGCACAGGCGGCGTGGGAGGTGGAGGTCGCCTGAGTGCCGCCTGCGTGGGAGGCAGAAGCGGCAGCAGCAGCAGGAGCGGCGGCAGGCAGAACTCCCTCCACCACCCGCAGCCGCCGCCGCAAGGCGACGACGACGACGTCTTTGTCAACGACACCTTGTGGCCTCTCGTCGTGAGCTCCCCCAAGGCGATGGCGACGTACCTCAGCCGCAGCTCGCTGCTTCGCATCGCGGTGCGCCTCGGCGTCGACAAGGAGTCCATTCTCCTCCCGCTCCTCGACCAGCTGGGCCACGATGCGGTGCTGAACGTGCGGCTTGTCGTCGCAAAGGAGCTGTACGGCATTCTGGCCGCCTCCGCCTCCGCCTCCGCCGCCGGCCTCGCCCCGCGCCCCGCCAAAGTCACCTTCACGGAGCATGAGAAGAACGGGGTGGTGCTGCAGCTCCTGCGGCTGCTGGTGGAGGACAAATCAGCCGACGTCCGCGATGAGGCCGCCAAGGCCTTGAAAATCTGTTTCTGACCGCGTCGCACACACCTCTCTCTCTCTCTATCTGTTTGTCTGTATGTGGGTGCGTCTGTGCGGACTCTCAGGGCTATTACGACCGCTGCTTGCGGCGGCGGCTCTCAATTCCGCCGTTGTTCTAGCGGCATAACGTTCCTCTTGCATGTGCGTTTTGACAGCTCCACCCGACACGGTTCCGTGCCGCGCGTGTCCTCCTTATTTTGGGGGGTCACGACGACGTCACGCTTCTGCGCAACGGAGGCGCTGGCTGCTAACTTTTGTTGTGTCTCCTCTGCATTGTTGCTGCGTCGTGGCGCGCTCTCCCTCCTCCCCCGTTCCCTTGCACACGCACACAGGTAGTGGGGGGAGGAGAAACGTCATTGGCGTCCCACGCCTTCCCGCCCAACCCAACTCCACGCCAGACACGCAGAGTCCAGACGCGTACACAAACACATGAGCACAGTTAGTCAAGAGGAGAGCGCGTTGGCGCGGCGCGTCGCGTCGGTGGAGCGGCGCTCTGCCGCGATGGAGCGGGCCATCATTGCGGCCATGCAAGAAGTGGATGAACTGCGCTGCGTTCTCACGGCACGCATGGATGACGTCCAGCGTGTCGCCGCCGCCGCCGCGCAGGAGGGACGGCGGCCCGCCCCCGAGAGCGGCAGCAACGACGAGGACGGAAGCGACGGCGGCACCCCTCGCGCTGGGCCGACGCTGCGCGTCCTGAAGGAGGCGATGCACGCGGCGGCAGAGGCGTCGGCGGCGTCGGCGGCGCTGCGGGAGAAGCTGCGCCTGCAGCAGCTGCGGCAGGGCGGCCTCGAGCAAGAAGTGGAGGCGCTGCGCTCGGGACTAGAGAGGCGCGTCCAGGGCCTCGAGCAGCACACCTCGCAGCGGGCGTGTGAGGTGGAGGGGCGGCTGCGCGGCGTGGAGGCCGCGGCGCAGCGGCCAGACAGCGGCGGTGATGCGCTGCTGCTGCAGCAGCTGCAGGCGCGCGTGGCTCGGCTTGAGCGCAGGCAGGAGGCGATGCAGGGCCATGCTGTCACCA